ATTAATTATTATTATTATTATTATTATTAGTTATTATTATTATTATTATTATTATTATTATTATTATTATTATTATTATTATTATTATTATTATTATTATTATTATTATTATTATTATTATTATTATTATTATTATTATTATTTATTATTATTATTATTGTTGTTATTATCATTATTATCATTAATTATTATTAGTATTATTAATTATCATTATTAATTATTATTTTTATGGTTGTTATTATTATCATTAATTATCTTATAATTACTATTGCAGTAGCAAAATTTTTAAAATATTATTCGTTCTCGTGTTATAGAATATGTAAAATTGATCGTACCACTGATTTTAGCGAAGTAAATATTGACTCCAGAATGCCAGCTAAAATAAAATGAAATTTTAGAGCAAATATGGAGCAAAACGATAGATTGGAACCAAATGAAAAATTCGATTTTATTTGCATGAATTATTCAAGATTTCCTGATTTGAACAATGAAATTTCTCAAAAACATTCGGAATTGCAAGACAATTATCGATCAGAAAGAAAAAAAATAACTAATGTGAAAAATAAAATGTTGGCAACGAAGTGATGACGTGCTCGGTAAAAGTTTTAAAAAAAATACCATGTTTTTCTAAAATTAAAAAAAAAGTCCGGTTATAGAGAATAAAAGTGGAGAATTCCCGTCGGAGACCTTATTAATCATTAAGAACAACGGAAGCAGTTGAAAAGCGACAATTTTCTTGGACATTTTAGGAATACTGCTTCTCTATCATCAAAAGCAAAAATATTTGTCTTAACGAAAAAAATAAACTTTTTGTTGAAATAACTCAAAAACAAAAAGTTGGTCAAATGATTCTTTCTTATTTTTTTGCCATAAAACAGCAATTTATAACTAATTTTATGGATTATTTTTCCGGATTTGAGTTAAATTTTTCCAACATGAACAGTTTTCTTGATTATAGCAATGATGAAATGAGCAAACCTCAGTATTTTTAAGATCAACTTTTAATTAATTAGGCGTTCAGTGTTCCAGCACCATGTTCAGCATCCCAAAACTGAGCGGAGGAGCGATCGATATTATTGAAATCCTAAAGTATTTGAAAGGTTAGTATGGTTTGGAATGGTAATTTAAACTGTTTTGAACAAAAAGTTGTGATTTTCCAATCGTTTCACAAAGGAACAGGCTTGTTCGAAATTTGTCTTTCACGAATAGCTTCATCTTATTAATTTGTATAATATCCTTACTTGCCATAAAGCAAGAACTAATTCACTGCTCATCAGTTCACCGGCATGAGTCGAGATCATTCGAAGCATGAATATACCATCTTTACGCAAAAATTGATTCGTAAATTTCCGAAGTGATATATCATCAGCTGCGGGCTTTGTTGGATGATCGCTTAATACCCGCAAATATTTACGAATGAAAGACATTCCCTGTATGAAATTAAAGCAAGATTCCATTCAAATTTTAAAAATTTCAAATTTTGAAATTTAAAAATAAAAATGGAAGAGTTGTAGCACAATTGAAGGACGAAATAAATCGATTATTAGAATAATTTGTTTGCTATAAAGAAGGCTGAAGTAGTACAGCTGGACTAGTAATACAGGTGACAAATTAGAATTAGTACCAAACTTTTATAATGCTGTGACAATCGGCAAATCACTATTTGTAACTTCTCAAATTTTCGCTACATCGATCATACTTAAGGATTTGTTCAAATACTTAGCAATCTTTCTTTCATTAGAGAGCTGATATATAAATCTTCTATACTGTAATACTACGTTGGACTTCATTTAATTTACTCAGTTCATTTCAATCTTCAATCCTAAAAAAAACTACAACAAAACGGTAATATTAAGATGAAAATTTAACGAATAGATAGAAAATAACGAAATGTTAAGAAATGAAACTCATAAATGCTGCAAGAAAGAAAGTTACCTGACTTGGGATGAACATTGCAAGTATCCAGTAACAGCTGTTGAAAACTGTTATCAAACCGACGGTTAAAAACCAAAACCATAAAAAAAGGAAAATTTTTTCATTGAACATATTTATCATCAGTACGCATTGCACTGTATGCCGATGAATATTACCGAGCACTCGTACCTAAAGAAAAAAATAAATAAAAAGTTTTATGTCCTAAATTTCAATCTTTGTTCTTTTATCTGGTTTCGTTTTAAGCTTATAATTTTTTTGGGAAATTTGTTAAACTAGACATGAAAATTATTGATATCACAACTGGAATTATTTGTTTGATTTAATCTTGAGTAGCATTATAACTAAAAATTAATTCAAAAAAAAGGGAAGAATCAAATAAATTGATAGCAAGACACCTCGAAATCACAAAGTGTTACTCGTGGGAACATTCCTGTTTGCTCCCATTCAACTTCATGCATCAAATCGCGCAGTAATGAAAAACCATATGTAAGATCATCCGCACCTAATAGATGATTTAACAGGAAGAATTGCAATAGGACGTTAGCCGAATATAATATCTGAAAATAGCCAGTTTTTCAGCCAACATTATGAAACATTCACAATCACAACCTCATCATTCGTGCCATCGATTAGATCAATTACAATGGCGGCACCAATCATATCATCTATTAGATCAATCAAATGCTTCACCATCAGTGTCATTATTGTTGTCATTATAATTATCATAATCATGAAATTATAGATTTCGTCCTAACTTTTCATGCATGTCTTTTATAATATTGTCCTAATATGCATACTTTTATCGATATTTTATGCTCCAGTGGTTAGGACAGATATTAAGATGGAGCAAATATTTCAGGACAATAAAAATCTCAGATAATTATTGTTTTTTGATGAATGTATACTATAAACTTCTAACCATCAAGTTCCTCATCCTACTTATTTGCCATCCATAAAGTATGTGAATGAATCAACAACTTCGTCAGGTTTTTGAGTTCAATAAAACTTAACCTTGATACCAATGTATAACATAGTAACATAGCATCCGCAATGTCTTCCGCATTGACCTTTCGCTTGTACGAACGGAAAGCAAGCTCGTGGTTGTCCATGTTTTTCCAAATGCGCTAGCTAGAACATAGTTCATCTAGTCGATCTTTTGTCACCAGAGTTTTGTTTCAATAAAATTGTCAACATTAATGATGACAATTTTCGAAATATTCAATATGAATGGTGTCATACATTTCTTATTATTTTAAAAATAGAAGAAATGCTATTTTACTTGCACTTCATCCTCCATATGTCGTGCCATTGTATACACTGTGCGACTTTTAACATCCGTATCCATCAGTCTTGCATCGCATGCCATTTGTACAAGGCCTTGCAAATTGATTCCTGAATACTTCCAACATCACTTTCAAAAATCACAATAATTAATTTAATTTTTTGAGCATAATGTTGGAAATACCTGAGTGCCAGTATAACATTCCTCTCCATAATATACAAGGCACATAGAAAAGCAATGCTTCTATAGCAAGAATAAATGGTACCCATTGATAATAACCAATTTGGCGATTTCTCCGCGAATAAATTTCTCGTGGGATATCTTCCTACAATAGAATAGAAAAGGATAGTCAGAAATTTCATCAGTTCGTATGTAACAAATATGAGAATACTTAAATAAATATAAAGGCAATAAAGGTAAGTAAACAAGTAAGAAATTACTTGGCAAGAATCGCATAAGTTACAAATCAATTTTAATATCAGTATTTAAGCCTTGCAAGTAAGTCTTACCTGCATAGGCACCCAGTATGTGTTTTGCACCCAACAATAATTTTCTGTATATTGTTCCATAGCGTCCGTAAAAGTTGCCGGAACCCAACACTGTATTGGGAAACCTTAAAAAAAAACATTGATTAAGAATTTGGAATTTGTGGGGAGTATTTTCCGGTATTTTAAGCGATTGAAAAAAAGAGAAAAAACAATGCATAAAAACGAATCAAAAGAAATCAAATTTACTTACCAACATACTGTTTGGCGGAAACAAGAAGCGCAAATGATGCTACTGAAATTAAAATTTTGGATAACACGTACTTCAAATTTTGTTGAAAGAATTAAAATATATTTGAACTTTAATTTTCAGCTTAAATAAAGAAGGCAGTAAATAAACTGATGAGGAAATTATGATAATTGATTATTCAAAGTGAAATTTTTGAAGCAATTTAAAGGGTGGAAAGTGAACAAACTAGTCTATGCCACTAAATTTTTGATGAATTAGACATCAAATTCTTGTACGATTATGTAAATATTTGTCAGGAGATCACCATATCCTAAGGACGGATCGTCATCTCTTTCATTCTCAATAATCCCGTTTTGACAGACAAGACAAATGCAAATTTCCTCTCTATTCTACACCACTATACCTGAACTGAAAAATATCATCACTATAACTAAGCAAACTTACATATCGTAGTCGTATAATAATAATTTAATTTATCAACAAAATCATCATCAAGTCGTGGATAAAGAGTCCGAAATGCGGATGCCAAATAATACAATATCATCGCTGGACCAAATTCTTTTTTATGTCCGTGGCCTAGTATTACACATACTTATTCCACATATAGATAAATTATTTTACAGTTTGATATGCTTTTTTCTTCTTATTTAATAATATAATATTTTAATAGTTTTACGTTCTTTTTATTTGATATTTATTACTTACTATTTTCTTTAACGCCTTTTTTCTGTGAATTTAATCACTTTCTAGAAATCTCATTCAAAGCTGTTCTGCTCTTCATGTCTATTTCAATCGAAAATGCGTCGCATATCAAAATTTTAATTTTTAAAATGTTAAAAACGAAAGGACTCTTCTCTCATCTTAAAATATATGCACTTTATAATCAAGCAGGAACGAAAGTAAAAAAAAAACACTTGAATAAGTCAATCTCTCGAATTTCCTTTGATTTAGATAACGACAAAGATTTGACCCTTGGAAAACCATTGCAAACTATTTAAAAAATTTCAAAATGAAAAATAACTAAGCAAAAAATAAAAAGAAAAAAAACAAAAAAATAAAACAAAATTCCTCATCTTTTTCAGGATTATTGATGTTAACTACAAGAATATAATTAATGTAAAGTCAATAATTGTTTGCTCATCACACATTATCAGACTTTTGCAGCAAAGAACTATTACAAAAGTAAATAATCACTATTACCGCGAAAAAAAAAGAGCTTATTGAAATTGAATATATGGCTGTATCCGAGCTAATTGGAATACACTAAAATACTTACTGCTACTACAAGTGATTTCCTCCAAAAGTAAGTTTTTTATGTGCATCATCATTTCTGAATCAAAGTTTAAAATCAATTTCAGTATTTTTATTTTGGTATACTTGAATTGTTTTGAAAATTTAAATAAATTTCAAAATATTAAAGATGAAATACCAGCGCCAGGGCCGGCGCTTCCGACGTGATGACCGTCGATGCGCAACTGATGTGTTCCGTCCAACAGCTTCTTGACCTAAAATGAAAAAAAATTGCTTTGCTAATTAATATTATTTTATTGCTCGTTACGTAAAGCCATTCACTTTTTTTTTTGCAGCTAACATACCACAATAAAAATTGCAGTAACCGTAGAATTTGAAACACAACGATCCAGAAAGTGAACATTTCATGTTACCATATCGCCGACTAGATGCAACTAATCAACTTGACCTTGGTTGACCTTGTTCAGAATATGATGGATCTTAGTTAGTTCAATATTATTGAAAGCATTGGTTAAATTAAAAAATAGAAATTATTCAAAAAAAAATGATAATAATAGAAAGGTTAGAAAATGCGATAGAAAAAAATGATAAATATCAAAGTTCAATGGGCACTTAAGAAATTTGATGAAAATTATTTGGCAAACAAAAAAGCAAGCAAAAAGTTTCCTAATTTCGAACAATTAGAAAAAGAAATTTTTCACAGAAAAGCCTCCTTAGCATAATTTCAAAAGCTTTCCCATGCAATCCGTCATCTGTCCACCTCTTTATGATTACATTTCTCTCATAATGGGCAATGTGAAAATTGCAATGTCAAGCAATCATCACAAATGACTTTCTTTTTCTTTTCTTGTCAAACAATTATTTAACGGTCTCAATTTAATCAATTTTAAAACTTTGTGGATAAAATTTCGAAATAATTTACAAATTTCAAAAAATAATCCAAAAATTCGCGCAAAGTTTTGATAAGCTGAATTATTATTGATATTGAATGATTTTGAAATATTTTATCTATAAGAGAAAAAAAAGGGAAAAGTCATTTTTCTCATTTGAAAAATGAAGAAAAATAAGGTCAATAAAATTTTTAACGTTTATAATTCGCTCCTTCGAAAATTTATTTGTTATTTAATAACTTCAAATGTCGAAAAATATAAAGGAAAAACAAATTTCCGAAAAAAAAAGAAATAAAGCAGAAAAAAACTTTTGCAATGCTAGGAATATAAAATCGACAAGTATTTCATTTAAAAAAGTAAAATTTTTTCCATTCATATGAAGAAAACAAAGAGGGTTCTTTTTTTTTGAAATAAATGCAGGGGAAAAAGTAATTAAGGAAAGAAATTCATCGAATAACAAATGATGCTACATAGTTGACAATTCTATAAGAATAGATCGAAAATACGAAATACACTTATATTTTGGTAAAAGAATAGTTGCAAACATGAAAAAAAAAAGAAACAAGTGTTCAAGTTCCAGTTTTGTGAATTTCAATTAGAATTTACATTCGAAGATATCAAGATATCAATGCTATCATCAATAAATGGAAATAGAGAAAAAGATGAAGTCACATTTTTATTTGTTATTTGAAGGAGCGATTCAACTAGTATGATGAATGAAATAGAAAAACGTTTTTTGAATTAAATTGGATAAAAAGTCATCATGAATCAATATATAATTTATTATATTTGACAATTACATATCATATTTAATAAATGTGACGACTATTCAGATCTGCAAATTTAACAGATTATTAAATTTTTCTAAATTTATCTCATAAAATTCACTTAGATCTTAAATATTCTTTCTATATAAACAACAAAATTTTAAATCCAGAAAATCAGCTAGAATTTTTGGCATACAATCTTCGGGCAACTATGCATATGAAATGCAAAAGCTGGACATATGTGGTACAACGATTGAATAAATTGAATTTTGCAGTGAAAAAGCTATAATTTCATAGAGCTGTTTGGGACCAAATGCAAAGATTTGGTTCAATTCAATTCAACTAAAATAACAAGTACATACGCTTGAATCATATTTTTCTTATTGGATACAACTTACTAAGTGGAATATGTTTAAAGAAGTCAAAAAGGATGCAAAGATTATTTCCATTTTCAGGTGAAAATTTTCGTAACAAAAGAGACTGAATGAATTTGTTTTGAAGATTGCTCATAAGATTTTTGAAAACTTCTCATAAGATTTAAGGAAATTGATATCCTTAGAAAAACTTTTAAATGTCGATTAAAGTTTTTCTGAACAGTTGTTTTTTTCTATTATCTTCTCCAATTGATATGTTTAGAAAAACTTTAACTGTCGATATTTGATTTGCAGAAAAAAGGGAAAGCCATTTTCTTCCTTTGAAAAAGTATGAAAAATACGATTAAATAAATTTCAACGCTTATAATTCGTTGTCTTTGAAAATTTTTCCTACCAATTTCATACAGGTAAAGTCAAAAAAGAATTGACTTTAAAGACAAGAAAAAAAAAGTTTTATACTTATTAATAATAGCTAACACTTTCAGCTGACTAATAATGCAAGTCTTTTTTTTTAAGTCACAGACTTCTTTCATAAGATTTTAGGAAATTGGTATAAAATCAGAAGTAAAAAATTTGACATATAAATTTAAAAAGTTCATTTATGATATGATATCGATATGTATTTGCATGCTCTTTGTTATTGTAATGCTGCAAACAATAATTATTGCATTATAGTTACCCTTTTATGCTAATCATTATTTAATACAGAAATTTTGATAATTTCTACCACTAATGTTCTTGTCATTTAAAAAAAAAATGTCACCAAGAAAAACATATATGGATGAGGGAACATGAAATAAAACCATTTTTATAAGAAATTTGCCGTAATAATTGTGAAATTAAAATATTGCCGAAACTAAAAAACTTTTGAAAATTTTTAAAATGTTAAAAAATTTTAAGGTAATGACAAATTTAGTAAATTCCATCAACATATGTATATACACAGTTCAGCATTTCTGATCGAATTTGAGGATGTTAGTTTGAAATTATTCGTTGATTTGCGCTTGCTCAAAATCGGAAATTTCATTGCATAAATAATATGATATGAATATTTATTAAAAAAGTGCACAATCTTACTTTCATACTAAATTACTAGAGTGAATTGTTAGATGTTTCCTTTCGAGCATTATTTTTTCTATTTATTTATTTATTTATTTTTTTTGAAGCGGTATTAAAGAAGACAATGGACGCCATTGAACTTCGATTTGTCTTCCCGTACATCAATACATTTGGAATATTCATTCCAGAGATCGCATCGATTTTAACATGTGAAGAAAGAAAATGAGAAAACATCTTTTGCTTGGATTATTGGAAAAACAAATGTCTCAAAATGTTAAATGATTGGATAGGATGCTCATTCAAAAATCAATTCCTTCAATATTTTGATTAAAATGAAAAAAGGCCTGGAATATTTAACACAGATATATTGCTAAAACTGGGCGGGAAATTTACCGCGGTCTTGCAAAATCCGGTATATTTTATTAACCCCGATGACAACTGGAATTTCATCCGGAAAAATTGCCACTTTTAACACTTGAGAAATGAAAATGAGACGATTAGTAGTTTTCGTTTGGATGTTACCAAAAAAGTTTCACTTTTAATACAGTTGAAAGTTTTTTAATTTATTGGAATGCTTGAAGAGAGTTTAATCCTGCATAATTACTAAGTGCCATCGATAGTCAAATCAATTTGACGGAAAAGGATCCAATGAGTTATATAATTTCAAATTCAAAAATTAAAATCCAAGAAAGTTATTCACCGTTGAAGTTTAAAAAAAAGTTTCCACAATGAAATTGCTCACAAAATTAATGAATTTTAACAACAATACAATTCGAATGACAGTAAAATAAAAGGGAATTCTACCTATAACGACTGGTTGTGTCATACATTTAGTTGACATATCGCTTTGAGAAATCTCAAAAAATAAGGTAAAAAATTGTTCAATCATAAAAAAAATTTGCTTAAACTCTTTAATTTATGTTAACACAAATGGTTGTATTATAGAAAGTATAAGACGAAGAAATTCTTTAAACGAAGAATCATTTGAATTTACATCAATTTTTAGACATTCATTACCTGCTAAAGCTCCTATTTTTCATGTTCGGACATTTTCTCTCTACTTTTAATTACATATACTGTAAGCATAATGCTACATGCTTGGTTATTCAAATTGCATTATATATAAAAAGTAGTAACTTATTAGATTGAGTCTATGATTTTATTTTTTGTAAGAAAAAGAATGGATAAAAATGGAAGTAAAATTTGGTAAAAAAATAGAATGCATGGATATGTTGTAAATGCGAAAGGTGAGCCAATCATGTAATAATAATCATAATCATAATAATAATAACGATAATAACAATAATAATAATAATTAATAATAATAATAATAATAATAATAAT